TAGGAATTAAGTGGTATGCATGTAGATCTTCCTAAGTTAAATACATGAAGCAATAAAGATAAATAATCAAAATTAAAATAGAATTAGAGTTCTTATTGAGGATAAAAATTAGTTCCTAATATTTATTTATGTTTCTTTTTAAAATATTTTACCTTGGAATTTTATTTTTTAAGCTATATATATATATATATATATTCTGACACAAATTATATCAAGATATCTTTTTCTTATATTCAAATAGGAATATTCTAGACAGTATAAAGCTTAATTATGATGATTAAGACTATATGAAGCTGTCAAATATCAGCATAAGGAACTCATCTATAATATCCAGTAGCACATTTTTTAATCAACTTCTTTCATCCACACTATCATAGTTATATCTAAAAGAACCTCATGATAATCTAATTATAATCATTTCAACTAATACATAAATCTCTTCGTAATCACTAGAGAATTGAGAATCTTAAGCATATAATTTTACAAGTCAATTTAACTATAAATCATTCTCCTTGATCAACATACCTATTGCCAAGACTAGCATGAAGGTCTATGACAAGCTTCTCTTCGGCGTCGGTGAGAAGGCCTCGCTTGAGGTCGGGGCGGAGATAGTTAGTCCACCGAAGACGGCAGCTCTTCCCGCAGCGCAAGAGGCCGGCGAGCTTCGGCACAGCCCTCCAACAACAATGGCCATTGCTAAGGATAAAGGCAACAAGCTTCTTGTCCTCCTCAGCCGTCCATGGACCCTTCTTCACCTTAAGCTTGTCACAGCATGGCTGCCTCCCCATATCTTCTCAGGCTTCCCTATGGAATACTAAAGACACTCCACCAACCCCTCACCCACTCCCTGTTATATTTATTCATATGAACATCTCCTATTTCCTTATTCTTCTTTCATTTATTTATTTATTTTTATAGTTATATTTATATTTATATCCCTCCTACCTTCTTTTTGAAAGGTGCCCGGGAACTAAAAGGAGTCATGAGGCATGACTTGTGTAATGTGTGAATGTTGAAGGCGACGTTTGATGCTAATGATGGACTAACACAAGAAAATATGA